TTAATATATTCTTATATCAATTTGACTAGCTTCCACTTTTATTAAAGTCCTACAAAGAAGGAATGACTCATCAATATTTTGCATAACCATACAGGATTTCTATGGTTTAATGACAGTATTTTTAGCTCTTTAATTTTCTTGATATGCATTCTAGATCTCTTGAAATTAACCTTAAAGCGAGCTTAAAACCAGAAAATTTAATAGTCTATTAACTCAAGAATACAATGAACTTTTTCTCTATTCTTACATTTTTCTTACACTTCCTCCTGTCCCCTTTTCTGTCTGTCTCCCCATGAGCTGAATTCAAACTCTGTCCTGTCGACACCCCAAGTAAAATTGTAAATTCTGGGCATGCATTGGTGCTGATGTCATGAACTGAATTTAAACTCTCTGCAGTCAACACCACAAGTAAAGTTGCAAATTCTTGACATGCTTTGGTGCTGATATCATGAACTGAATTCGAACTCTCTCCAATCAACACCCCAATTAAAGATGTAAATTCTCTCTCCCAAGGTCCCCATGCCCCCAGTTTACTCTGGAGATCTTGTTGAAGGGGAGGAGATAGGCAGGAAGGGGAGCAGAGAAAAATGTATAGCTCAATAAAAATCAATAAAAAATAAATAAATAAAAGCTGTAAATTCTGGGTATCTATTGATGCTGATATAAACAGCAGAACCCAGGGAGATGATTGTGATTTCTAGAAAATTTGAGGTCTCTTTCCAGAAGAAACTAGGTTGATTTTAGTAGTTTCATCAGTCTACTTGTGGGTTTAAGATAACTGAATCCATTAGGTAACTATTGCTAAAAGTTTTAATAAAATAATTGGTTTAAATTTAGTTTCTTTAAATATGATAAAGTAGTACTATTTTCTAAAATTTAATTCAAGAAAGATAAGACAAAATGAAAAAATGCTACATTAAAAGGATATAAATTACACTAAGAAAGTATATTTATTTGCCAAGTTGAAATGCAGATATGTAAAAGAATATATATAATATATATATAAAAGAACTTTTATATATAGCCTAACATCTTTTTTTAGACAGCAACTTAGAATAGAATCATGAACAATTGTCTCTTGAATACTTTTGAGTCATAAAAAGAAAATCATTTTAGCAGTATATGGCATTCTGTCAGGAATTTTTTTTCTGATGTTTGTAGAACATAGTGATGAATGTTTATACATCTTAAGCATCCAAATCTTATTATCTTCAACCATATTTTCTAAGGGAAGGTAGAGAAGAAAAATACTTTACCTAAATGGAGGTGGGGCAGTAAAATTTAGCCCTAACTAAGACATCAGGGCCTTAATTTTAATGACTCTATTTTACCCAAAAGCTACCCTTCAAAGCTTTAAAAACAATTGCAATTGTGTCAAAAAGAGCAGAAAAAGAATCTAAGACTAGCTAGGCCCTGTGACACCTACATTTGTAAAGTCTTTTTTATGCTACTAACCTCATTTGCCCCAAATGTTCAGAACAAATAGGCTCTCTCTGAGCATGCCAAAGCACTGCCCTGCATCAGAGCTAACATCTCCCAATCCACTTCACTTTTAAGAGGTACAAAGAAACCCTGAGAGCTGACAGGGCAAAGATTGAGGAGCTGTGGCTCCCCCAAGAGTGAATTCTTTAGAAGGTGTTCTGGAAAAAGTTGAGCAGTTTAGATATTCTTCCCTAAAGTGATGCTAATTCAAAGTTTATCTGTGCCATTTAGGTGCTCCTGTCTTTGAAAGTGAAGGCTAAGAACAAAAGAACCCTGCATGGATAAGAAGAACTGCAGGAGAGGTTTAATTCTCTTGCATTTCAGAAGTACAATGTTCTGACACATTAAAAAAAGAAAAGCCAGTTGGAAGAAAAATAACCCTGGAGGTGAATGACTGGTAGATTATGAAATCACAGCTCTAAGAGTCAGAGAGACCTATTAAGCTCCACCATCGCCCTCATTACTTACGGCCACTGGTGTGCTCTGTCCTGCTTGATCTTGTCTAATTTTCATAACCCTGGCTACATACCTTTCTCCTGAGACTCCATTTCCCTCCCAACTGTTTAAAATCTCCACCTGACACTCACCTTGCTTCACTTTGGGCAGTTTCATCTCCTTTCTGTAGTCATTTACTCTGTTGGCAAGCCGAAATCATTTTCCCTCCTGTAATGTACTTAGACTCTTTTAAATAGCAACGAAATTATTTTATCTCTATTATGATGACACGAAAGTAGAAAATGATAATTTTAACATCAAAATTTCAACTGCATGACACGTATCTGCTATAATCAATAGGTACTAGTGATTTTCTGATTGCTCATCTGACTCCTGTTGTTTAACTGCGGTGCAGACATTATTAGATTTTTTTTTTCACAAGAGGAAACAAAAAGTGATCCTGTTATTTAGATGTTTCAGAATGTCTGTATAGGGCTAAGGAGATTACCAACCAAAGGGTTAATCTTCATCGGGTGAGTTAGTACTTTAACCATATAGAAGGAGGATCTTAGATGCAATTATTCTCGGCTAACTATCTAGGATCATTCATATGTCACCATTTTCAACATTAAATATCGTTTGCCTTTTGGAAGCAGCCATGTATGTAGAGCACATTTGTATGCATTTGTCTATAATGGTATGTAATGTTTAATCTTTAATCGATGGCTATTGGTTATTAGTAACAAATAATAACCAATTGCAACTATTATTCATTTGAAGTTGCATTCAGAATCTAACTTCTCACCACATCTGCTCTCTGATTCTCGTCCTTGACCCCTTCTCTGGGTCATTGGGCAGTGTGGCACTGTTGTCTATCTCATTATCTTATCCTTCCACAAGCTGTGCTGGACCTTATGCTACTTCCTCCTCATCCTCAGCATGAAATTGAGCACTACAGATGAGCCAAGGTCAGATGCATCTCACTGTCCATTCTACTGCATCTCAGCCTGGTGGGCATAATGGCTTTTCCTCAAAGGAGCCAAAACTCTCTTCTATTCTCTTAGATCTCTTTTCTGCTTCTCTCTAGTAGATGTGATTGACTTTTGTGATCACTTAGAAATTTGATTCATGTCACTTCTTCAATGACATCTAAAGTGATTGCCTTATATTAATTAGTACTTTTTTCCCTATTTCAACTTTCAAAGCTTTATGTTTTTCCAAGTTCTTCATACAAGTATTACTCTTCATGTAAACTACTTTTTAAAAATTTTAATAGAATCGGTGATCTATAAAACCAGAAAATATGTTTTTTTTTTAATCCACAGATGTATTATGAGCATCTCATACATAACTGAGAGGTCAAAAACTGAATGAAAGAAATAATAAGAGAGAATATTTGGTGGTATTTGTGAAAATACATTATATACAGTCATAGTAATAAAATATTTAATCTAATTAAAGTAGATAAATAATTTTCTATTATCTGGATGTTTTTTATTTAAACAGCCAGTGTTTAACATGCTTCTATCTTGGGCAACACTTAAATTTTCAATATCCTTTCACAGTATGTCAGTCACGGTTCACACTAAGTCAACCCTTTACTTTTCAGGTCATAAAAAGGAAAATACAGTGTGCGTGTGCTTAGACTTTTAGTGCTGTAATTTGTTTCATTGAACAAATTATTCAGAAATGGGTAGTTGATTCAGAGGTGAAGACATTCACTTCTACATTCCAAATAGCTTTACATGGTGGTCAGACAAAAATTAAAGTGACTAGGTCTTGTCACTCGAAGAAAAGCTGTAGTAAAGAATACCAGTAACTCAGAACACCATTTTGGATAAAAGGAAAGGTTCAGCAGAGAAAGTCTCACAATTGTGTGCAAATTGTGATATGTGATATGTTTCCTCAGCACCTGATTACTGCAGTGTTGGTGTAGGGTTCTTGGTACAGTGTTTTTGTCAATGACATTGACAGGTCATTTTGGAGAATGGATTTGCTTCTAAATATGTATGCACATACAAACACATACATATACAGGTACACACACATACATACACACATATACATATGCATATACACTGACTTGCACACCTTTACATACATGCACATATACATACTTAGACATAAATGCATACACATACAAGATAAAAACACAAAACATGCATATTCCCACATACACATATATTTACACATATATACAAACATAAATATATGCAATACATATACACATGTACACATACATGAATGCACATGCAAACATAAACACACATATACTCATGCAAATACTGTTTGATGTTATTGTGATTTTTTTCTTAACATTCACAGTGTGTACTCTTACTAAGTTTGTAAGCTTTATGCACTGAGTTTATTAGTTTTATAAATATATTGCTTCTATTGTCTCAGTAGTATCATCCCAGAATAATTCCTTATCTGTATATTTCCCATCATTTTCTTAATCAAATTATATTGTATTAAATGTTAGTGTTTCTACATGGAATCTAGCATCTCATCCACAGGAACACACCTTTACACACCGTAGCTTTCCTTGCAGTCTATGATCTCAAGTCACTCTTTTACCAAAAGAAAATCTATATCTGTGCTGATAAGATTTGTACACTCACAAATTAAGGTCTTCTTAAAAACAACACTATCTGAACCAATGAACAAGTTTAGCAAGACAATGAGTGCTGGATCAATATACAAAACTAGATTATATTTCTGTGAGTTCACAATGAATAATTGAAAAATGAAATTAAGGCAAAGCAGACTAATGGTCAGAAAAGTCAATTATCTCACACAAGTCCATTTATTCATTAATCATTTCAAAGCTATGGTTAAGAGTTTATTTCCTTATCTCTAATGACCTTTCAATACTTTTCATCATCATATCTGGAGAGAAGAGTAAAATAATACATGTTCTAAAAACAGGCCACTTACTGATAGATGTTTCATTACCATTTTCTTTTAAATATAACTATTAGTTAATAATAGAAAAAATAATTTTTCACTTAATGAAGCCTCATTCAAATGAAGTAATAGTGCATGCTTTTTTGTTTTGCTTTATGAATAAATGTAAACTACACCTGAATCGTTTCCAAATGTGTGGTCAAAAGATGGTCCTGTGAAGAGAGGAAACTGTGGCCCCCGAATTCTTGCCCACTCGTTATCGTCATCAAGATCCTGGACCCAGAAGCAAAAGCCATCTTCAAAAGTACAGTTGATTTTCGCATCATCTGTGAATTCAAAAACCTCTCAACTTTAATATTTGACATGAACAACTATAATAAATTATATAGAAAATAATCAAACTTCATATAATATTTTGATTGCTTACTTGCTGGGCATCAAGGCATTCTTTTGTTTTAATCTTAACTGTAAATAGTTTTATTTATTTTAAAATTTATTTTATTTAAGTTAAAATACATATTTTTTCAACCATGACAAATTATTATGTTTCTTACAGTATTGGGCTTTAAAAAACTTCTATTGTTTATTTTTTCCATGTTGATTCCACTATTTACCCACATATCTCTCCTTACAACTAAATTCAGTACTTTAATCAAATCGACTTCATGTTGATTTTTTCAGAATTAGTTTATGCTAATCTACTTTCACTTGTAATGTTTACTGAATATTAAAAACTAGTTTAATTGTTAGATGGATTTATGAATTTCTGAAGCTAGTCAGTTGATTCCTATGAAGAATATAAACTACTTTTAATATTATTTGTTTCTAACTATTATGTAAAGAGAGAATTAGTTAGGAAAGAACTCACATAGTGAAAACTTTAGGTTCTGCTGATGTTAAAAATACTACAGCATCAGGGGAGTTAAAGGCTGACCAGTAGAAAGCACTTACTGCTAAGGTCGTTGCTGTTAAAGGTGCCGTAGGTCGCATTAAAGCCAATGTAATCACTTTCATCAGATTCTACCAGAAAGGCGACTGTAACTAGGTTGGAGAAAATTCGAACTGTTCCAGGATCAGTTTCCACAAAAGAGGCTATGAAAGAAAATGTTTACAAATGAGTATAATCATAATTTGTATCTATTCATAAAAGGAAAAGATGAATTGCTTTACCAAGTCGGATTCCCTGAAAGTTACAAGTTGAGAAGTTATAGGGATAAAGGTTAACTTTGAGACCCATACCACAGCAATGAGAGCAAGAACAGAGTCATCATAGTGATGTAAACAGTGCATAATTTTGGTTTACTTACCCATACTGCAGTGGAAACTCAAGTAATAGTAGATGCTGTGGGCAATGGTCTGTAGCCTGTCACTTGTATTTTAGAGAAACATGCTGATTGGTCTGTGGCCAGGCAGGAAGTAGAGGTGGGGCAACAAGAATCTGGGAAGAGGGAAGTTTCAGTCTGCAGTTGTCACCCAGGGACAGAGGAAGTCAGACACAGAGCAAGCAAGATGTGATTTCCCTCCCTGAAAAAGGTACCAAGCCATGTGGCTAACACAGACAAGAATTATGGGCCAATATAAGTTATTAGTTAATAAGAAGCCTGAGCTAATAGGACAATCAGTTTATAAGAAATGTAGACCTCTGTGTGTATTTTGGGGGACTAAATGGATGTGGAACTTGGTGGGACAGAAAACGTCAGGCAACAAGTAGATAATATAAGAACTGCTACTATGGAATTTATATTGACTATATTATTGCTCTGCCTTAACTGTGCCACCTATAGAATATTTTTCCACTTTTGATTCTCAAAGATCGGGGCTGGAGAGATGGCTAAATGGTTAAGAGCATTGCTTGTTCTTCCAAAGGTCTCAAAGATCGATATGCTTATGGTATTAATCATATCATTTATAACATACAACTTATAAAATTATCATTACATGAAATGGTTTCACTACAATATGTGGCTTACCATGTCTATCATCAAAGAGAATAATATCACTTTTAGGAGGATCTGAATTAGGTTTAATGGAGGATAGTCCACATATTTAAATGTGTGATATTCAGGTACACAAAAGCACATATTTTAGATGGGCAATCTGGAATCTGTATCAAATTTTGGTATTTGAAAAATGTCAAACTTTAGATGGAGATCCCATCATTGCTATTTATTTTATTTTAAAGAAATACATCATGAAATATTGAAAAATACGTACTTCTGTTCAAATTAGGAAAACTTCAAATTAGATGGCAAGTTCAACAAAACTCCATGGAAGTATCATGCTCAAGCACTAAGCTTTGCATTAATGTCCCAACCATAATGTGTCTTTAATTCATATTTTCTTCATGGAGACTTTTGTTGGCCATTTGACCTAGCAGTCTCTTTGACTAATAACTAGCATGATTCTCATACTGAAAATCTCATACAGTCACTTAGGAGATGTTAATATTCTAGAAGCTTTGCTTTAAGATGATCTGCCATCACCCCCAGCCATGATGTACATTGAAATTTTTATACACAGTAGCTTCTGGGTGGATCAAATTAGTGTGAAGATAGCATAGCATAGTGTCAGTGTATTGATCCCATATTTGCAAATGTTAAGGATCTGGTGCAGACAATTCAAGAATTGAGTTATGAAGTTCATTAACCTGCTTTTGGTATACATGCAATCCTCTGGAAAAAGTGTAAACTGTTTAACTATAGAGATTTCAAGAAGCATTAATTATATTGGAAAACTCTTTTGACCCCAAATGGAATAAGAACCACTTTGTCAGATGGTATGCTACACATCAAAGAGGGTACCATAAGGCTAAGATTTTAAGACTTCGGATCTGTAGACAGCGTTGACTTCTGCTACACTGTGTCCCACTCGGTTTTTTTCTGTCCCCCTTTAATCTGATGTAATGCATGACTTTATGTGAGACATTCTTCTAAGGGATAAATAAGTGGTTTCCATGTGGAAAAGTGGTTACTGCCTAGTAAATGCTCAATGCCTGACATTTATTTTTTACCTCAACAATTAGATTTTTAAGTCCCCAAAGGCAAAGGTTATGATTTAATTTTCATGTGCCTCTGTTGTGTGAACAGAACATGAGCACATATATTTTATTTTATGATTGAGCACATGTATTAAAATAGAAATAAACAGAGTTATTTAATATTCCGAATATATGTAAAGATTTTTGGAGAGAACATTGTATATTAAAAGTTGGATTTTCCTTAATATTACATTACAACTGATAGTATACATTCATGAATATCTTTTTTAAAATTTGTATTAAAATTTTAAATTTCATGAAAATTTCTAATTTTTTTAAACTTGTATCGATATGAACTTACTTAAGATTGTGTAGTTATTATAGATCAAATAATCATTTATTTTCAAACAGCAGTAATGCTGACAGATAATTTTATTGAAAGAGAATGCAGAGAAACACGATAAAAATGCAAGGAGCTTAGAAAGACACCAAAAAGAGAGAGATGGCAGATTTTCTATAGATTTAATTTTAACAGATGTTGTAAAAGATATTCACTATCTTTTATTTAATCAAGAAAAATGCTGGCATTATGAGAACATCAGTTTATGAGGGAGAAGACTTCAAGATGCTCACCATGTAGCCTTGAGTACCAACTGTGAATTCAGTGTGAGGCCATGTGTTGATGATTTGGAGAAGTAACTAGATGCCTCATTAGAAAGATACATATAGGTTAATATGAAAATAACTGTGGGATTATTTGCTTGTTAAATATGTGATGGAAGTATTCAGGAAGGTATTCTCAATTTTTCCCAGGCAGTCTGATAAGCGGAGTTTTATGAGTTGTGAGCTGAGGCAATTCTTTAAATTAATGACATACTTCTTCATATAAATTATTACTATCAACAAAAATGAGTCAATGAGTACTTTTGAGTGTAGAAAAAGTGAGTCAATAAATGTATAAATCTTATTAAAGCTGCTTTATTTTAAATATACTTGCATGTACTTTACTTAGTTTTATATTTGCTATATATTTTTTATAGTATAACATATCATTTCAGGAAACTATACAGTGTTGGTTGTAACTCCTTAGTTATACCTGTGCAGACTCTACACTGTAGTGACATTTCAATTGTATTTTAACAAATAAAGCTTGCATAGGGACTGGGAAAGTAAAACAGCCACATTGGTCAGCCTTACAGACCAGGCAGCAATAACACACACCTTTAATCCCAGTATCTACACTAGATTGTCAAAGAAACCGGGTGGTTCATGACTTTAATCCCAGTGGTATTCCTTTAATCCCAGTTCTAGGGAGGATTATAAAATGGAAGAAAACAGCTCTCAGTCACAGTCTCATTCTGAGATTTCTGGAGGCAAGTCACCATTTTTGGTCTGAGTTTGAGGTAAAAGCCAGTGACAGGCTGCCTTGCTTTTCTGAGCTTCAAGTAGAACCGCAGTTTCTCTGTCTGAGCTTTTTTTTTAATAGTACTTCACTACACGATGGCAAGCTACCATATTCAGCATGCAGTGTGAGCTGTCCTGTCTTATGGGAGCAGAATTTACTAAGCATTTGGAATTTCAAACATGATACTCAAAAACATTTTTTCAGGACATGGAATTTAGACATCAGTTTTCATGTGCTCATTCAGGCTATTTTTATTACATGTTTTTAAGGTGGCAAAGCATTTCTGACAATGTCTGGTGAAACAGAACTATTGTCCCAGATGCCCAGCTACTTGAGTGAAGAAGGCAGGCTTGTAAACCCAAGCCATTCTGGCAGTGGGGGAAACTAGCCCAGGAAAAGTTGTGAGACCATGTTTCAAAACTAAAGACAACAAAATTGAGGATGTAGTTCAAACAGAGCCTTTTCCCCAGCCTATAACAAAGCTCTAGCCTCACCCTAACACCTCAGAAATTACAGATTATTGTTTTTGTGTGTGAAATGGAAAGGAGTCCACTTGGTCACAGTCCATGCCTTTAATTCTCAACACTGATACTTATTAAAATCATTAAAGTAAGATCATGCTTTCATGAAAGTACCTAAAGAACAAGATTTTGTCCTAACTGCTTGGCAATCTATATAAAAGTATTATCTAAAAGTTATTGATTGACAAATGCTTCTGAAATTTATCTATATTGACTACCTTAATAAAGTATATAACAATTGTTTTGTGACACTACATAATTTTGTTTCCTTATAATTTCTTTAGATAATTTCCCCAGATTTATGAAAGAAATATATACATTTTCCATTATGACAAAATAAAAACAAAGTTTCTGCTATATATTCTGAATTAAAATTCAATGATGATTATCTGGTGAAGATCTTAAACAAAGGAACATATAAAAATCAGTTTTGAAAACATGTGCTTGTAAATTAAAACAAAGTTATTATCTGCCTTTTAATAAAAATAAATTGCAAATTCAGCTAACATTCATGATTATATAGTATGTTATTACAGTATAAGAATACAAACCTCTTAGTCAAGCTTAAATAAAGAAATCCCTTGATTTTATAATTCAATCCACATACTAAATATTAGACATCATAATCATTATTTAAGAGTGAGTGCTTTAATTTTAAATGACTATTTTTCACTTTCTCTTGTTAAGATTGACATATTTATATTTTTAGTTTGAAACATTTATGTACAATCTTTAACTTACTATTATTTAAATGAACTTTTATAAATGCATTCTTTTTATGAATATTAACTTCATATAACAATGTTATGATAATTACTTTTGTGTTATGACATCCACATGTCTAATTATCTTAATGTTTGTTTATTGTTTAACTGCAAAGCTAAATATATGAAAATACATTAAATAAAACCTAGGTATTTTAAGAGTAATGGAGCAGGAAACATTCATATCTATAGGAAAATGAGATTTTATAATCAGTATAGTTTTTATGCTTCATATTAATTGGGAGGCATTTAGTGAGATGACTGAAAGTGTCAGGGACGATTCTAATTAGCATCTGTGGATGTTGGCATCTACATCTAATACACATTGATGATGTATTTGATTTGGTGATACTTATTTGACCCATAGTATTTATCTATGTGCATTATATCTGTCTTTATTTTAAGGAACTACAGTTTTTGTTGCATGCCCATTCACCAATGGATGAGGAGCGGGTGTGCGGTGTAAAAGGGAGGTGGGTAAGCAACAGGAAGAGAGGAGGGAGTTGAAACTGTGGTTGGTATGTAAAATAAATAAATAATAAAAACAAAACAAAACAAAAAACCTCCTAGGGGAGGCAGAGGCAGGTGGATCTCTGTGAGTTTGAGGCCAGCCTGGTCTACAGAGTGAGTTCCATAATAGCCAGGGCTGTTACACAGAGAAATTCTTTCTCAAAAAACAGAGAGAGAGAAAGAAAGGACTTGTAGTTTAAAGCTACAGAAACATCATCTGACTGTTCTATCAGTTTAAGTGAATGTGACCATATGATCTCATGCGTTGGAGGCATCCTCATTGCTTCACTTAGACTGATAGAGCACAACACATAACTCCTCTATATTTAACTGAAGAAAGTCTTGTGTTGACTTCTGCCTCTAACATTCTCTTTCTGAATTTAATTTGCTTCCTTTTATCTCACTTTTCTCTTCTGAAATATGTATTTTGCAGTCATATTGGCAACATTAAATTAGAAAGTTTACACAGATTATCAAGTACAATATCCAATCAATAATATGCAATAAAAATATGCATCTTTGACATATGCTTAAATATTTATCATTAACAAATAAATCAAACCCGTCTAACTAGATCAGGATCATGTTTCATCATTCATACAATTCAAAGGTGAAATTATTAATCTTTAATATGGAGAATTATTTGAAACTTATTTTCTCAACTTCCCCATACTTGTAAGGAAAGCCGATTAATTTGTGTTTTATCCACATTGTCTTCTTCATCCTATTTAAGTTCCTGGACCCACCCTCCCCTGATTTCATTGTCTGTGATGATTAGGCTGTGTCATTTTGGCCAATTGGAATGAAGTTCATTGATGTGGGAGTCCCCTCTCTGTGTTGTTTGTATTGGTTAATGAATAAAAAAAAAAAACTGCTTTGGCCTGATAGGGCAGAACTTAGGTAGGCAGAGAAGACAGAACCGAATTCTGGAAGCAAAAAAGCAGAGTCAGAGAGACACCATGGATCTGCTGGAGACAGAGGCTGGGAATTTTACCTGGTAAGCCTCTGCCATGTGGCGATACAAAGATTAATAGAAATTGGTTAAATTAAGATGTAAGAAATAGCCAATAAGAAACTAGAGCTAATGCACCAAGCAGTGATTTAATTAATACAGTTTCTGTGTGATTATTATGGGGATAAGCTAGCCAGGTAGTTGGGACGAACAAACAGCCACTCCTTACAACAGTTCATGGATCTGGATTGATTCCTGAGTTTTCTCACCTCCATCACTGTCCATGCATTGATGATAAACTGTTCTATGTAGTGCTTTGAAAACAAGGTATTGCAATCTTAAGGTTTTTTGGTTTTAATAAATGGAGTCAACATTTAAACAATGAATGACGCTTGATTTAAAAAAAAAAACATTAATTTCACATGATTTTAAAACACTAGTTTTACGGCCAAAAGTCAACATACAGTACTCATTTCCTATTTTGACAGTGATAGCCATTTTTACTTTACAGACTTAAGGGGCAACTTAATATTCTGATCAAAATTCAAAGAGAAACATGACCACTGTCAAGGCTTCCCATTTATTTTCATTGTTATAATCAACTATACGCTTGTTTTAACTTACCTCTTAAAATTTTGCTGGGTCCTATGCCTTCATAAATATCTAACACATCAGTATAATGTGCAATAAAAGATCCAAAGCTGATCTGAATGGAAAGTCCTTGGTTTACACTAAATTAAGAGAAAAGAAAAAAAAAGTTCTTAAGCTATGATAAATTTCAACGCATTCTACAGTTTGATTGGGTTTTCCATCTTGTGACAAGCATATGGAGTAAGCTATCCTGCAAACACAGTACAGTTCTGTAACTACACATATTTAGGACCTTGTCATCTAACACAATTGAAATTCTGCATTCAGTAAACAGAATCTTTACAATGCTCTGTCCCTATAGTCTCAGTAACATTAATCTACTTCCTTCTATGAATTTAGCACTGTTAAGTACTACACTTAATTGAAATTTTGTAGGATTTGTCTTTCGTGTATTCTGGCTTAATTCATTTAATGGTCTCAAGTTTCTATCATAAAACATGGATAAGAAACTCTTCCTTTTTTATGGCTGAATAAAGATGTTCCACAATATGTATATTCCACATTCCCCTTTCCACTTTATCTAACCTTAACAATATTAGTGAAATACTAATCATATGCTTGCTGTCTTGTTTACCAGAAATTTTGTGACTCTAAGTCATATTCATTGGATCACATTTGTATTCTATAATATTTTTATACACTATATTATACTTATGGGTTGAATGATATCAATGTAACTTTTAGTGGTAGTTTCTTCGGTGGCAGAGAAGTCAGACGGAGGCTACTGCCTGCTGCTCCTCAGAACAGGCATGCAGGATGGAATCACGCCAGGGAAAGCAAGAAGCTAGAGTCTTGTGGGAGCTCCTCCCACTCCTTCAGCCAATAGCCGCTGAGATACCAGCCCATTGGGGTGTGGTCTCTCTCCCTTTAAAAAAAGCGGCCACTTCCCTCCTCTCTCTCTGGCTTCCAGCTCTGCTTCCAACGACTAGGCTCCCTTCCTGGTTGCGCAGAGGGCTGTTGTCTGGGACTGTGATCTGTAAGTTTTTCTCCCTTAAATTAATAACCATTCTATTTTAATCATCATTCCAAACTGGTGGGGGATTGTTTGTGACTTACGCCTCCACTAGATGTGAAAACACAAGACCAATCTTTGATGTCCACATTACATGACATTGGTCAGGTGTTAAAACATTATAGAACTTTGGCCAGGTGCTAAATATAGCTATTAATTTTAGGGTGGGCAAATTCAGTGTTCTAAATAGCTTAATGATATCTTAAATACTTTCTCTTGAATTAATCAATCCTCTATACTTGTATAAAACTCATTGCATTTACCAATATTTTGATCCTGGGGTGGGGCATATAATAACTAGTTTCAAAACAGAAAAATTAATTTTTAAATTGACTAATTAGATTAAGACTCATCATGATGACAAATTTGTTTTGCAGTAGTTGTTTAGATCCCAGTGAGCTGCTGCTATTTCTTAGACAAAGCGTTTATTGATACAGAGTAATTTTAAGGTTAAGGTTTAAAGAGGAACTTCAAAGTAATCTATAGGTTGGTAGTAAATAAAAGCTATAATTATTTTAAACATACTGTAGGAAGGGGGATATTATGTTGGGAGATTTTCAGACTGAAGATCAGGACATAGAAAATAGTGTCTTACCTGATGATCCAGCGGCAAACAACACCTGAACTGTCTGACCCTGGGTAATGATCAGCTTGGAAAGATCCAGAATTTTCCGTCAACAAAAACCTTCCATCACAAGCTGTGGCTGTGTGAACATGTCAGGTAATATTAGATATAAGCAGTCTTAAAATAGGAGGGGTTAATTAATTCTCCCGAGGTTTCTTGGTTCATAAATAATATTCATAGCATGCCCCCTTTTCTGGAGGCTTCTATCTGCAATTACCATGACAGTGTACATTAAACAGCAAAATTAAATTAGAAATTTCCATCTTTTGCAATGTTCTTAAACAGTACTACAGGCCATTTTAGAAGCATCAGGAAAACAGAAAAGGAATGAAATAAAAATAGGAGAACACAGAACATTTCAAATATCTGTAATAACCATTTACTATGCTGGTGAATTTACTCATCCTCCAGATTTATTTCTGACGTATCTCTAGAGAAAGGGAGTCAACAGTGTCATGCTTTATAACTTGATTTACAATTTTCTAAAGGGTTGAGATTATTCTGTGTTTGGTGGATCTTATTGCAAAGCCTTCAGGGACAAAAGACTTTTCTGTACTTCCTCAGATGTCTGTACTTGCATTAATGTGGAGTCATGATACCGAGTTACATAATCAGCTATTCTACAACTAAATTGTGTTTGTTCCCAAATGTCCCCTTGCCTGTGAACTGTTTATGAAAGAGCTAAGTAAGAGAGGGTGACAGGGCAGAAAACTGCCATCCTTAATGCCTAGGGAAGTATCTGTGCCTGCTTTAGGAGGATCATTGTCATCTTAAGTTGCTAGAATTTTTGTATCACAGTGTCTTGTCTGTCCAAAAGAATATGACCAATTTGTTTGTCTAGTTTTCTATGAATCTTCACATTTTATTTCCAGTAAATAATCTTTATTTTAGTTTGAAGTAATTGGACCTTGTCAGTCCTGAATATAAACAAAAGTGTAGACTATCCCTGAAAGCATTTAAATTACAATAGTATTAAACTCTTTACAATAACAATGCTTAGAATGTCAAAAATCCTGTCAAGATGGACGATTTGGAGGGTAGCTTTGGGTATCCCTTTGACGATGTGTATGAAAAAAGGCAACTTTACATATCTGGCAGTGAAGCAAGACAGGTTCTCAGGATTAATAAGAATTAAAAATATATCTCAAACATGAATGAGTATAATGTTTAGATCGTAATTCTGTGACCTGCTGAGAGTCTCCCGATTTTCTAGAGCGTTAGAACAAATGCTGAGGGGTAACAAGTGAATCTGCAAATGACAGCAGCCATCCTGCTAGCCATCAGACACTCTTCCTGAATTCACCAAGCAGTCCTGATGACATGCACTTGGGGCCGACCACAAGCTCACTCTGCTGGCCCAGTATTTACCGATTCCATTGGTCTTAAGTCATTGAGTTGTCCAAGATACCAGAATTAATCCTGATCTTTGCAGACACACCAAAAGGTATCAAATGCTCACATTCGAACATGCAAACTACAAGTACACTTGCCAACTTAGGAACAGTGCTGCACCTTGACCTAAGAGCTCTTGAGTCAGCATCATTTCTCCACAGAGGTCAGCTAAAAAGCAAACTTTCTTGCTGATGCAATGCTAATCAGAAGAGAAACACAATTTAAAGCAATCTTACTTTAGCTATAGTCAGCGATAAGTTGTACAAACCTAAATAACCAAAGACTAAATACAGAAACTCGGTACGGAAGCAATCATTAATATGACTCTATTAATAACACAAACTAGAATTAGAGCGCACAGCTGGGGTAAAACCAATAAATAGGGAGAGATCAAAGGTCAGTGTCTTACAGAGAGAATTCTTAAATTAGCTTATAAACTTTTCTCTGAGTATGGATTGATGTACAAGGGCTTTGAGATGGCATCCTGCTGCTAAACATTGGAGTTGGTGCTGAAGGGTTGTCTGCGGCTTGGGGGCTCACTACCTCCACTGATTAAAATGAATAAGATCACCTGTGCTCTGAAACACCTGCTGCCTGAAGAGCGTTCTTTAGATTGATTTTTCTGCTACCTTGGCTAAACAATGATTTGAAACTATTTTTCAGAAATAGATACAATGCTAACTTTATAATACATATAAAGGAATGGAGACAATAAGCACACAAAAACTTGAGAATCCTAGGAAAGCTGGGTGACCTTAAGGTTTAATAAATATAAAGCCACCGTATACTGAAAAAATATCATGCAGATATTTTAAAGCAACTGTGTTTAAAGCAAAGGTAGATGTTTAGTTTGGATGCTGAGATTCATCTTGTGACTCAGAAAAAATAATATATTACTTTAAGACTCATTTAGAGACAATCTATCATCCTTACATTATTAGTCTTATGATTAATTTTTGATATGAATTGTTATCAACTAATTTTGAAAATGATGGACTCAATGATGTTAAAGTCCAAACGACAAGTGAGACATATTTTTAAACTATTTGATTTGATTTGTGTAATGTTGTTACATCATTTCCTATCTTCAGTACATAGGTTTAAAGCTACGTGTCTAGCTGATACGGATTGATGTTTTTGAAACAGAAATCAGCATCACCTTTGCTTCCTCTTGATGGTACATTTGGATCATATTCGTTTTAAAAAGGTTTTGGGAAATCCAAGGGAGAAAAACACAGTTTATAGATCACCATCTTCCTTTTTAAGTAGCTTATGTATATAAAATAGAAAATTTCCATAGTCTGCACTTTCTTCCAGTTCATGCCAGCTGCACATTGAAGTATGTAGTTCTGCTCTGTATGTTTGAAATTTATACAACAGCACTTGTATTGAAATTTTTGAGTGGGAGAATCTCAAGTGTAGTTACTTTTTGTTGAATTGTTACTGTGAAACAGACCCAATGCCTGTCTTATGAAGTATGGACCTAGTAGATGGGTAGTTTTCCAAATTTAGTTCCTCACTCAAATCTTCACCTTGAGTTAATGCCAAGGAATATGAGAATGCAATGGTAACAGACAAGGAGACTGCATCCTCACAACACCCTACGAGCTGTGCACACCAACCCCTTTACAAGCTTTGTAAGGTTGACTAGTACTACACCTCAGTCTGCAACCTTAGCACTAAGAAGCAATAGGCAGAAGCTTCATAATGTGTGCTCCAGGCCAGAGCCTTTCTCAAAAATCAGAAATAAATCAAAAGGTGATTATGGATCACACCAAAAATAGGCTTAATTCAGGCTTTTCTTTAAGTTTTCAAATTGAATTGTACTTTTAACTGCTTACAATCTGAACTTACATGATGTTAGGTTACAATGAAACTACATTATTGTATGTACAATGAATTTACATTGATAAGATTCTTCCTGGTAACCTTTTCTAAATGGAAGCAAACTGCAGTGAACTATAAATCAAAGAGAGATTCCATTTAGATTATCTAGATTAATGTTTGGTGTAGTGTTTGTGTTATTTAAGTGTTTATTAATGCAATTAAAATGAGAACAATTAGAATAAATTAGAAAATAGACTCACAAAACACCACTATATTAAGAAATCATTGTTATTGTTATTATTATTAATAACTGTATTATTTATAGAACTCAAGAAAAAAAGAAAAGCAATGAAGAAAAGGGAATGATGCTCACTGAGTTGATACTGTGAAGTAGGGGCAAGAGAAGTGACATTATATGATGATGAAAATATCTAGAAAATGTATTATATTATTAGTGCTTAATCTTAAGAACCATGGCAGCTCAAGACAAAGGGGAGATTAAAAACTGACACTCCCTCTCTACCTGAGTTATGTGTGTCTGATCACAATATTTTTTGCAGAGTTCTCAAATGGTATTGTGTACAATTAGTTACATCTAATATTATGCAAATAAGTTTAAAAATAACATATTTATTAGATTTTGCAACAAATCATGCATGTATATATTAGAGCAGATAATTTCTCCTTCTTTCAGAGTAAATGCATATGCAAAAGTGTGTGCATGTGTGTACATGTATATGCATACACATAAATGTATGTACATATGCGCATACATGAATTTTTGTGTAGTTTGTGTACATGCACACTTGTGTCTGTGTACAGTCATGGAGGAGAAAAAATGAAGAAGAGTAAAAGAAAATGGGAGGCCTTACCACACAGTTCTGTGTCTTCATCTGAACCATCTGGACAATTCACTTCTCCATCACAAAATAAATCAGTTGCTATACAGTTCCAAGTGTTAGCACAGGGTCGTGAACCAGGCTGGCACTCTACTGGGACACTGCCTAAAAGTACAGATTCACATTGTAAGTTTCTTGAATAATAAGTTTCAAATTGGCAGGATATATACAATGGCTGATATTTCTTGTGTGTTCTTTATTACGTTAATTTATAATGGATCAATGTAGTTCATTTTGTAAAAAGGAATATTTATTTCACTTGATGAATCATTAACAAAAATTCAATGTATTTTAAGTTCTATAAAAGGCGATGTTGATTGTGAGTGTTGATGCTGTTCATTCAATTTTTGTAAACTTTTAATTTAATCACTTAATACTTATGGTGATTCGAGTGAGAAGGCCACCATAAGTTCATATATTGGAATACTTGGTCTTCAGTGGATGGAACTCCTTGGGAAAGATTAGGAGTTGTGACCCTGTTGGAGAGGATGTCATAGGGGATTAGTTTTAATATTTCAAAAGCCATTCCCAGTTAGCTCTCTCTGCCTCTCTTTCTGCTCAGTACTTATGGGTCAGGATATAAGTTCTCAGCTACTACCCTAGTGCCATTCCTGCCTACCTGCCATGATCCTCTCCACGATGAGCATGAACTCTAACCCTCTGATATCATAAACTCCACTCAATGCTTTAATTTGCAAGCTACCTTGGTCATGGTTTCTTAACACAGCAATGGAAAAGTACCTAGGTCCTCAATTTCATACACTGAACAATGTTGTGTGAGATGATACAATATATTTTAAAGTTTATTATAACATCTATCTAATAATTCATTAACACACAACTTAATTATTTGAAAACACAGTGGTGTTCATAAAGTCTGTACTTTCTGAAAGGAAAATGTTATCAAAGTAAACCACTTTGAGGTAAGATAAAATGTCTAGTTACAAGTACATTATGTAATAAAACTGGAGAAATCGATTAGCTATTTCTGCTCCATAATTTTTGGCTTCTTGCCACAGCCATTCTTTGAGGGCATCCAATACAAACACATCCCTTTACTGTGCTAGATCAAAGTCAGGCGCTGCCACTTTGTAGCTCTCAGCCTGCTTGTTTATCCTTCAGCTGCCCCACCTCCAAGGATATGATATAGAGAGACTGTCTTAGGGTTTCTATTGCTGTGAAGAGACACCATGACCAAGGCAGCTCTTGAAAAGGAAGACATTCAATTGAGGAGGGGAGGTTTACAGTTTCAGCAGTTTTCCACATTATTATCATGGCAGGGAGCATGCTTCTGAGGTTCAGTTCATTATCATCATGGCAGGACATGAGGGCATGAAGTCAGACATGGTGCTGAAGAGGTAGCTGCTACATGTTGATATGAAGGCAGCAGGAAATAGACTGAGTCCCTGGGCAGTATCTTGAGCATATATGAGACATCAAAGCCCGCCTCTACCATGAGACACTTCCTCCATAAGATACACCTACTTCACAAGGTCACCCCTCCTAATAGTGCTACTCTCTTTGGGAATCATTTTCTTTCAAATCACCACAGATACATACCAAGATACACGTACTTCTAGAAATTAACTTTGAAATTCTAAGAATAACACATATTCTTATACCCCTGCAAGATAATATCCATTTGTTTTTCAGAGCAATGTGAAAATTTTAATGTTTTTATTTATGATAAAAGTATCAATGATGCTTTAAGGACTTTTGGAAATTTAACTCCCTAACATTTGTTTTTTATTATTTTAACTTTTAAAAATACTTTTTAGTATTTGAAAATAATGTATTTTGATCATTTGTATCCCTAGCTCATTCCATATCCCCTACTGTGTCTCCTTCCCAACTTCACATCTTTTCCTTCCCTCCCAGTGAGTTCTATTAGTGCTGCTAGTGTGTAGGGAGTAGGTTTTCTTAACATGAAATGAAACACTGTACTGCCATCTGCTGGCTCTTAAAACTATAACAAGCAAAATGACTTCTGAAATTTCTTATGCTTCCCATAAACTCATTGGGAATCATGTATTCACCAAGCTAAATCTTGTTTGAGGACATTTATAGACAGGGTTGGCGAACATATAAATAACTAAGTTAGACTTTAAAAAAAACTTGCTCTGATTAAAGTGAACATAAAGTTTCCATTGGGAAATTAATGGAAAAGCTAACATCTAAAAAATAGCATAAATATCAGAGCTATTTTCAAGTGGCAGAATAATCTAATTTAGTAAAATAAAAATAGAAATAAATATATTTATTAAATATAAATGTACATTATACTTAAAATATAAGAGCTCCATATCAAGCAAGTCATTTAATTACTGTGTCCCAATTTACAAAAGTCACAATATTTGACAGTATGTAAGAAACTCTTAATAAATAAATAGGTAAAAAAAGAATTTCCTTATATGTCTATATTATTTTTAACAAAGGCCCATAAAAGTCTATGAATTTAGTGCTTAGAAGACTTAAGTTAGGACCATTGCTAAGAATATGTGAGACTTGGGTTGTCTGTGGATCATTGCTTCCTGGAGCGCTTTGTGTCTCTCTATTGTCGTTAACCTCAAAGCCTTACTGGCAAGGGATGGTGCTTGCGATGCTTTGATTCCTGTGCTGAGTGGTTTTATGTCAACTTTACTCAGTCTGACATCATTGGAGAACATAACGTCCCAAGCAGATTGGCCTGTGAACAAGTCTATGGTGCATTCTAAAAATTAGTGATAGCAGTGGGAGGGCTCTGCATACCGTGGATGGTGCCAACCATGGGCAGGGCTGGGATATATAGAAAAGCAGGCTGAGCAAGGAATCATTTCTCAATGACTTCTGCTTCAGTTCCTGACTTTAGGTTTCTGTTCCATATGAATTTTGGTCCTGACATTCCTCAGTGAATGACTATCATATGGAAATGTACGCTGAAGTAAACCCTTCCCTTCTCAACTTGCTTTTGGCTTTGGTATTTCGTTGCAGCTGTAGGCAATCTTACTAAGATGATCCCCGTAGTGATCATTAATCCACAAGATTTTTATGGCTACTTACGTCATGGCATTCTAAAAGGTGGAGATAGACGATAAAAGAAGAAAAAATCTTTGTGGCACAGCATCTGTTCTCATAGAACTTAATGTAGGGAAATAATTCATTTATCATTTTTGTAAATTTTTGGGGGGCAGGTTGGTTGGGTCTGGTCTCAAACTCCCTAGGTAGCTAAAGATGACCTTGACATTCTGATCATCTGGCTTCCATTTTGAGAGTGTAGAGAGTGTAGGTATCTACACCCCAGTTATAAGGTGGCATGGAAAGTAACTACCCAGGTAAGCAGGATGTGGCCACTCTACCTGCTGAGCTGCGTGCTAATTAGTTTTAATGAGGCCTTAAGAGAGCAATGAAAGCGCAAGGAAGTAGGCAGAGGTTGAACCCATCTTCACAAGAGAATTCGTATTAAAATTTGACTCTGAAGAATTCCTGGAAGTAACTGAAATAGGCAAGTATAGAATACACATGATGGTGTGTCAGAATACGAAATCAGATACACAGAAAGGTCTAATTTATCCAGATGTGATGATGTTGGGGGCATGTCAGGAAAGAGTGAAGAGGCTTAGCAGTAGGAAATTCGCCTTTCCTCAAATGCAGACTACAATATACTTGTTAATGGATAAAATTTCTACATCCCTGGTTTGAGTAATTCAATCAAGGACACAGTCCTTCCTAGATTATTTTGGCCCACCATCACTTCCTTCACAAAAACCGCCCATTACTTTTCCCCCTCTCCAATCCCTAACTTCTACCATATAGTGGATGAGTGGCAAAATATTGCATTTTGTGTGAAATATAGCAAACCCCTAGTATCGAATCTTTCATGTTTCTGAAATCATTGCCTGCACTGCCAGCAACAAAGGACTAGAACAAGTTACATTGTGGGAAGCCTTCAAGCATACGAGCAAGTGCCCAAAAGAGCCCCTCCAGGCACACTGCAGCAGCCAAGAAATCAATCTGTGTAATGTGGCCTTAGCTCCCGTAGCTCCCCTCTAGTTCTCCAAATTGGTTAGTAAAACTTTACAGTAATTGGCAACAAAGGCAGCTGAACAAAAGAACACAATCCACATGGACTTTTACCTGTTATCATACAAAAACTCTCTTTGGCAGAATTTATTAAAGTACTAATGCCAGGTATATGATGCATGTGTTTGTTGGTTTTTCTCAAACTCTATCTTCAAGGCATATAAAAATGAAAATAAACTTAACATCCCTGAAAGACATATTCATAATAAATTACTGCTTGGAAACGGCAGTTTTCAAGTTTAATTGCCTCGTTCCTCTCTATAAATCTCTAGTGTCTTGCTGTATGAGAGGAATAAATGAGAGGTATGAATCAGGACTCGTGCTACATGAACTTAATGTAAAGGAGAATATGATATTTTACTACCTAGTTATCTTACAATAATTCCTTGTGAATTAATTAAGTCAATTCAATGAAAGAAAATAGTCAAAAAGCAAGGTTTTATTGTTGCACAAGTTACCAGATATAAATGAGCACCACCAATTGGAAATCATGTTTGAAACCTAGTATTGGAAAAAATCTCTCTTTTATAATAATATGCAGATGTTGCTATAAAAATATTATTTTCAGGTAAGTCGTTAGGAACTGGGTGAAGTGACCTAATTGGTTCTGTCCTTCCCTGTATGAGGACTGCAGTAACTCAGATGAATCGTGTAATGACTCTGCACACTGACAAGTGGAAGAAAGGACAATAATTTACATGCGTGTTGCTAATTTTTAAGTTCATAGAGAATGTCTTGAAACATTTTAACTACCTTTCGGTTTCATTTTAGATGGATGAAATTTAATGAGTAACTTACTTTTTTCAAAGTAAATTAATATTATTTGAAGTTGAATGTATAAAAATGTGTTTTTTTAGAACTTGAAATATTACTTCATATTGTGGAAATGAATGTGGGCTAAATGACAGTTTTCCATATGTTCAATAGATCTGTGGCTGTGCCTAAACAAAACTGTGGCTATGTTCAATGTTAAGAACTTTTCGTGGGCCCTAGAATTGTTATTGTTGGTGATAAATAACTTTAATTAATGAGTCAGGCTTTATTTTTCATTTCAAACATCCCACCAGTTCTCTTATTCCACTGGTGGGTCTAGTCAGTACATCTGAATCACTGACGCTCACAGGTTCTTCTTTGGACCTTACATGTGCACTATGACACGCACACCCTTATGTATGGGATAAATAAATTAATACATGTAAGAAAATAACATCCTGAGAACCATCTTATATTACACTGTTACTGAAAAAAATGACTGAATCCAGCAGTACTTTATTACTGATCTATGACAGTACTGCATTTACAGAACAGTTAAATGCAGAGAATACAGTGAAAAGATAATATTTCAGTATCTGATGAAACTGGTATCCTTTTGATAAAACACTTCACTGCTAGGGGTCACATCCCTGGCACGTGGTAATAACGACAGTTTTAAAAATCCCCAGTTAGTTCCTTGGGCAGCTGAGGATAGGGAACCTGAAATGACCCTATCTTATAGCCATACTGATGAATATCTTGCATATCACCATAGAACCTTCATCTGGCGATGGATGGAAATAGAGACAGAGAACCACACTGGAGCACCGGACTGAGCTCCCAAGATCCCAATGAGGAGCAGAAGGAGAAGGAACATGAGCAAGGAAGTCAGGACCACGAGAGGTGCACCCACCCACTGAGACAGTAGAGCTGATCTATTAGGAGCTCACCAAGGCCAGCTGGTCTGTGACTGAAAAAGCAAGGGATAAAACTGGACTCTCTGAACATGGAGGACAATGAGGGCTGATGAGAAGCCAAGGACGATGGCACTGGGTTTTGATCCTACTTCATGTTCTGGCTTTGTGGGAGCCTAACCAGTTTAGATGTTCACCTTCCTAGACATGGATGGAGTGGGGAGGACCTTGGACTTTCCACAGGGCACGGGACCCTGACTGCTCTTTGGACTGGAGAGGGAGGAGGAGAAAAGTGGGGGGAGGAGGAGAGGGGCACGAAGAGGGGGAGGGAAATGGGAGGCTGGGAGGAGGTGGAAATTTTGTTTTCAATAAAAATTAATAATAATAAAAATCAGAATGCAAGAGTAAAGTCAGACAACTAAGGTATTAGTCCCCAATATCTAACCATGTTCGTTAAATTATATGCTTCACCTGCAAACGGTTAAGCCCAGTATTTCTTTAGAGTTTGTTATTTAACTGCTAAGGCATCAGGTAATATACAAATATTAGTGAAAACTATATATATACAAATAATGCTATCAATACTCGGTTGAAGTTTCCATAGAAGTTCTGACTATTAGTTTATCTTCAAAAATAGGTAAAATTAAAGTAACATATTTTAAGTGGATATTAGCAATCCATTATTTATTTCCTTTGTACAATATTTTACCTTGGCAATTTTAGCTTATTGTAAATTATTAGTACATGTTAATTTCTTATATATAATTTTGTCCAGATATAGAAATATAAATTTATGCTTAATTTAAAATTTTACAGAACCTTTAATTGATAAATAGTTGTGTACACTTATGACGATCAACATAATGCTATTAAGAACTGACTGTGATGTGATCTTCACTGTGCTGTTAATTATTGACCCCACCTGAAGTCAATGCAGGACTTGTTGTGGGAATCCAAGTTGCTTGTCATATGAGCATGCTGTCTGTCCTATATTCTTCTCTCAAAACATAAGATTTATAGCACTGATGGAAGACAGAAATCTTCAACCTCAGGTCTCTACATGTTCACAAACATAACTGTGGATGCATAAATAAACATGAACACACACACACGCTATAAATACAAAACACCTACCTGAAGTAGTTACAGGGAATGCTGTGGAGAAGTCACCCAAAGATGCTAGAAGAAAGTAAAGATGATTTTATAGTTGGTTTTATAATATAAATGTATTGTAAAAACATTGAATACAGCTTGAATATTTCTTCAAAAGGTATCTAATCTTTTGAATTCCAATTTACTTGCTCTCGTGATATTACTATTTATTCTTTGGTTATTATACTTTAGATATGTTTTAGTGACTATCTGATCAGTTTATATAATTTGCCTAAGCTAAGTTTGCTTGGTTTTGTATTGATTCAAAAAAAAGTAGCTAATTATTTATGCTATAAGTTAAATGGAATAGTTTATAGTCAACTAATATAACATTACCCATGCGATCTTGCCATTGCCAGGACTTATCATAACCAATTTAAAATAAAATATATTTGAAAATTTACAAAATGTAAATATTAAACATAAATATCTAAAATTAAGCCTGGTGTTATACTTGCAGATGTGTTTTAGGACAGCTCAATAAATCAATTGTAGCATAACTTTGATTTGAGCATGTTTTTAAGTCACTGATAAATAGAGTTTATGGCATGTGCAAGACAGACTGAAATAAACTAAAGAGGATATGATTTTTCTAAACAGTATGTGATTTTGACCATAAATTTCATCTTCCATCTTATGCAAGTATATGGAATAATAAAGATTATTTTAGCATATCTGTCAAATTGTTCATCAAGGAGACTATCAACATGAACACATATTAAAGAAAAAATAATTTTTCTTAGGTAAATGATTTGAAAATCAATTATTATTTTCCAGTAATATAACTATTGTGAGCAAACTTTTGTTTGATGACTAAGAAGAAAGGCAGTATTCTCAAAATGCCTGGATCAGAGTCCTTCATCTGTTGTAAATAATATATGATAGGAAATTTACCAAAGTCCTCTGGATTTTGTCTTTTACCTGTAAAATGTGAGTGGTGAAATTTATGCACAAAAAAAAGTTTTGTTAGAATTGATTACAAAATGGTTCAATGGGTAATGTATCTGGTGTAGTTACTGATGGTTTATGGTAATCTTCAGATTAACTTAATAAGAATCCAAACTACAGTGTGTGTGTTCCATAGACTGCATTTCATGAAGCACAGCTTTAGCTGGGACACAGAAAAATTGAATTAACTCCTTGGCAAAACAAAGCAAAGCAAAACAAAACATAAACAAGGATTAAGTAGGGGAGTGATGGAAATCGTGCTTCCTGAACCAACTCTGTCAAGAAAATTATACTATCCCAAATGTGTCCAAGGTTCAAATCTACTATTACATATTTGTTATTACATATTTACATAGTATGAGTCATACCCTTCTGCATATGGAAAAAGAATTCTGTATTAAATGATTTTCCAGCGTGTGAAAACTGATGGTGGTCACTCAGTTTGTCTCCATCTCTTTTGGAGTGCATACTTAACTCTTGATGTTATCTTACCTATGAGTGCCCTTACATTACAAAAATAGGAATTCTGAAATACTGTTAGCTTCAGTATTGAGAGATAAGGCATTGTAAAAATAGAAAAGTAGAAAAATTACTATTGTCTATAACTAAACTAAACTACTTCAAATAACTCTTTGAACTAAAAAGAATGAACGGGAACTATAAAAAAATAGAATAACCTTAGTATATGCATTAATTTTAATTGTTGATATGATAAGATAACCTATGGAAGGAAAGGTTATTTAGTCTCATGGCTTCAGAGGTTTCAGCCCATGATGACTAGCTCTATTGTTTCTGGGTTAGTAATTAATGTCTTGCCATCACAATGGAGGAAAATGATTTAACATATAGCAGTTTTAAACAAATAAATGCTAACGGATGGGGTAGGAAGTGAAAAAGCAAGAATATATTTTGTAAAGTAGATTATAATACTAGTATTAAAGTGATAGTTCTCCATAAACAGAGTAGTATCCTACATTGTACCGTGGAACACAGAAACAGCATTTGAAGACAACTTGACAAAATTCCTAATAAAGAGATTAATCTTATTAGCTGCTCTAGTTTCTTTTCCTGACCAAAGCAACTTGGACAAGAAAGTGTTTATCAAACCTTTGAGTTCCTAGTAATCATCTAGGAAAATCAGGGCAAGAACTGTGGCAGGAACGGAAGCAGAGGAAAGTTTGTGTCCTTACTCCCTTTCATAATTTGGTCAGGGACATTACTTATACTGTCCTGGCTCATCTCCCCAGGGTTGGCATCAGCCACCTCAGGATGATCTCTCCTATGTTAATTAGCAAGAAAGTGTACAGCATATATAACCACAGGCTGATAAACTGAGGCAATTCTTCAGCTGAGATAATTTCGCTACTCAGATATATTAAACTGTCAACTGATAACTGTTAATTTAAAAATGCCCAGAACGAGAAAGGCAAATATCATATGTACAGACTAATAAGTGGCTTTTAGGCATAAAGCAAAGAAAACCAGCCTACACGTCACAATCCCAGAGAACCTAGACAACAATGAGGATCCTCAGAGAGACATACACACATCTAATCTACATGCAAAGTAGAAAAAGACAAGATCTCCTGAGTAAATTGGGAGCATGGGGACCATAGGAGAGGTTGAAGTGGAGGAGAGAGAAAGGAAGGGAAGCAAAGAAAAATGTATAGCTCACTAAAATCAATAAAAAAATACATACATGAATATACACATATATGTATATCCTACAAAACCACATAAAATGACCCGCTTTCTCCAAAGATGCCCTACCTCCTAATAGCTCACTCAACAAGGATCTTATTAATGAACTAATTCCCTGGTTAATTTAGCATTTTCCTGATCCAACTACCTCTAAAACTTTGTCTGAATGGGAGACTATTTCTTCGATAGGAACCTTTAAACAGAAAACATCATATCTGAGCCTGAAGATCCGGTAGACATATTGTTTGGATATTACTCTAAAATTAACTGATCATTTTGTGTGATGGTGTGTGCGTGTATATTTGTGGACATGATGTCTGAGCAGGGGATGCTTGAGGAAGTTAGAAGACAAGTTGTGGAGTCCTGTCTCTCAATTTAGGTTCAGGGGATTTAACTCGGGTTGTCAGACTTGCACTGCTACCTACTGAGCCATCTCCCTGGTCTCTAATGTTAGCTTTGACCCCCGTGGTCTTCTTCTTTTGTGTATTCTTAGGATAAAAAAAGGTTTCATCACTTTAAGAAAAAAAGTTAACTTTTTCAATAGGAAATTAGATTGGATTAAATGTATTAATCCATCTTTTGTCTTCTTTTCCATTTCTAATTAGACATTTGTCCTTGCCACTTGACTGTAATCTTATAAGGTCTGAAACTCAATCACAAATTCTCTAATTTGACTTTCTAATGAATGACTCCAGAAAAGTCAGAATACACTTGACCAATAGATAGAATGTGACAAGACTCACAAACATCTATGCCCACTGACATTTTCAGAATCTTTTTTATATTCGATAGTTTTCAAACTCCTCTCACTGATACTTCCCTTCAAATATTTCACTTTTCTCATGTAAATGTGTTACCTCAGTCGATGCGACATGCTCCTAAAGCCAAGGATGATTCTCAAGCCTCTTTCCTATATTGCTAGAATCTTAATTTCATAGCTTAATGATTCAAAGAAATCAAATAATGTTCACAGATACCTGTGATATCAATGCTGTTCAAATCAATACGGAAAGTGACCAGTTGGCTGGATGTATTTGCTTCAATGCCTTGAATCAGTTCTTCTTTTACATTTTCATCTGATACCCACTGAGCAAAAAAAAGGTCAAAAAGGACTATAACGCTGCCATTTCTGCAAAGAAAAAAAAATGACAGAAGAATAAAAAGTCAGGTATCTTCAAGTGATTTGTCTCAGTTCAGGCAAAATGTCTATGAAATTTGCTAGTTAGTCATCCTGTCCTAGTCCTCATTACAACAGTGTAAACATTGTGCGCCTTGCTCTGCAATACCTTGTAAAGATTTCTTTTCTAAAATAAAGAAATAAAAACTCATATAATAGATATTGTAAAGTATTATCTTTAGTTTACAAAGGAAGGAAAGAGTAACTAAAACTTTCAGTATTTTTCCAAGAACAGAAGTGCTAAAGTCAGACCAATATTGGAGCCAGTGCTCAGTGTGGCACACAGGACCACAGGGCTCTTCCTTAGTCTCTTGTGTCAAATTAAACTGTGTCACACAGAGTTCTGTCACTTTATTGTTTGAAGGAATGAAGTGTGTGAGTCTGCAATGTGTCTGGGGGATTCTTAGGTCAAGAGAAGTCTGATGTAATTTCATGCTTGTTTCAAATAAACTGTACAAATTTAAGATTGCCTGATTCTGAGGCTCAGTAAACATTTGTATTTTAGTTTTCCTTTTTCTTTTGCGTAACCTAAATTCTTAAAGTATGTCTTGATTTTGGTACATAGAAAGAAAGGAAACATACCTGAATTACTAGACACTTGGGATATTTATTCTTTTAAGAAATTTCTTGCCCACAGAATCTGTTACAACAGAAGAATTTAACCTTGTGGCCTTGGTTAATATTCTTTCCCTTTATTTTAACTTCCTCTCTGTATTTTGCATTTTAAATGGCATTTTTTTTTTACATTGTGAGAAAAGATTAAAAAGGAATGCATCTGGAAACAATAGAGACACTTGAGAGAATGGGGTTTGTTTTCTTTCCTAGCTTTCCCTTAACCTCATGTTTCCTCTTAAGCTTACAACCACACTGGAGGGAAAACCCAAGCTCTGATCTCCATTTTGCCCTGACAATTCTCAGGTTGAAGTTGACTTCTTAAGACAAACCAGAAAGAGCCAGCCCTGACATGGTTAGTGATGTTGATGCTAAAACAAAGGCCTTGGTGATGCTGATATTAACTCAAAGACCTTAGATGCTGATGCTAACACAAAGGCATAGTAATGCAACCTTGGTATCTCCAGTTAATGGGCATCTCCAAAGAAGGCCTTTGTTAGCTCTGATGTTATTATCTACCTGTCCTGCTGGAACCAAGAGTAAAAGATATTTTTTTTTATTTCATCATTATATACCAAGACCAGAAATTCCCCGGTAGACCACAGTAGTTTATCATCTCACAGGACTTGATGTCTTTTCTTAATACATGTGTTAGTTTGCGGGTTCATAGCTCAGGAGGAATCATTCTTTTCCATGCTGGTGGGTTTTCATTATTTAAATGACCAAGATAATTTGTTATAATTATTCCACACTTCACTTCTATTAAGTTAATTATCTGTAAATGTGAGCAAGATTGACAATCCAATTATTTTCTTAAATCACAGTAACCAAATCTTATTAGTGGGACCGCACCTTGATAAGCATTCAGAGTTCCTGAATGTACATATGTAAAAAACTTCCTGTCTTTAGTAAGGATTCAGTTATTCACAGACACTTTTTACAATCTGATCTTCAACACGTGTTATATTTTCAACACCAGCTGACCCCGACTTTTTAAAATATATATTTAATATTTTATTTTTTATTGATGTGTATGTGTATTCGTGGCAGGAGTGTTGTGCTGTGTGTACATGAGCACAGATGCACCTGGAGGCCAGAAAAGGAAGTTGGATCCCCAGGGGGTTGTGAGTCACTTGGTGTGGGTGCTAGGAACTAAATTCTGGTCCCAAGCAAGAGTGAATGTTCTCCATTTGTGTTTATCCATTTCTTTCAACTGGGCCCTTATCAATGGAATGTGAGAATACTGGCAAAAGACAATTAGACTCTTATTTTGAACATAAAAGTACAGAGAAATACTGCTTTATTTATTAGACTAATTTTGCTCCTCCTTATAAAAGCCAGAATTTGAGGACCATTTCAGGGCCATCTGGGGATCATTAGGGTAACCACAATTGAAAGTCACATGTATCATAATGGAGAATTTAAACACTGAATCTCTTATGTTATTGTCAATAGACCACTGAACTGACCTACACAGAAACCAAGACCGTGAGATGTCAGAAAAACAAAACAAAACAAAATAACAGCAAAAATACCTCCACCTTTTAAAAGTTTGAGTAATTATATCCTTTGTTAATGAAAGTTAAAAACAGATTAACTGGCATACAACTTTCAGGTTTCATCCATTCTTAGTGAAAAGGATGATTGAACTAGGTTTCCCTAATACTTTCAACTGACCACAGTTTTTTCTATAGTTATACAAACATTGACACCTAGAGCAAGAATGTTAACTTTATGCATTGTTCTATGCCATACACACACACACTCACACACACACGCACACACATATACATAACAGATGTGATACCCATGTCTCTCTTTCTTAGAAGGACTTGTATAAAATTCCTACCTCTGTATTTTTAACACTTTAGTGAACTATTCTTAAGCACTAATAGACACCAGAATTACACATACGCACAGAGGGGAAAATAGCTAACCTAGATACTTGGAAGTTTTTGTCAATCAAAAGAAAGAAAGTTGTTTTGTTCCTACATGCTTTCAATATGTACAGTTTCCATTTCCTCTCCCTCCACCACAATTTCCCTTTCCTCATCCTTTCTTTTATCCTTCCCCATTTTCTTTATATTTTCAGAATCTATCTCCTTTGCCAAACACGATTGACTGAGTATGGACCTAGGGCTGATAGGATTAAATATGGTTTAAAATAAAGCACAAGAGCTCAGAATCTTTTATCTATTCTCATCAGTTCTGTGGTTTTATTTTCTCTTGTGTTGCAAAAAAGATGATTTATATGGAAATGAAATCCGCATCTGCTCTATATATTTCTACACATTTAATTATTCAGAACCCTTGATTTTGTGTACCTTGAATCAAGCAGTAGAAGACACAAGGTATTTTGGGCAGAAATGCAGTTCTGAAATTTTCCTTTACCACGTTATAACTAACTGGAATAATTCACCCTCAAGCAAAAACATATTTGTATGAAAGATGTGTATTTTTAGTTTTGAATTATATATTGTACTCAATAATTTATATCTGTGAGGATAAAATTTCTATATTGTAGATACACATTCAATTGTATCCTTTACAATTTATTTTTGTGTTCAGTATAAATGTTGAGATAAGATAGATATAAAGTAGAAATTTAAAAAAATGATAAATATATATGTTTCATCTCATAAGCAGGCAGAATCTTATTTTTGGTAGTTTATCAATGATTTGTATGCAAGCTTTTAGGTTTAATTTATTTATTAAGATAAATGAGAAAATCATCCCTATAAGGAAAAATAGTGGCCATTATCATTTCAAAGAAACTGCTCTTAGTAGAGGAATTACATGGCCCTTCTCTTTTTGTCTCTCCCTCTCTCTCTTCATGTAATTTTAAAGCTAGATATATTCTATCATTGTGCAGAGGAATTGGATGTAATAGATCAAAATGGTTCTTATCTCATATTTTCCTTAATGATACTGATAACCTTTAGGTTTGCTGAATAAACACAGCTCTTTCCTGTGAAAACTTGGTGACTCATCTGTGTGCAAAGGACAAACTTAAAGTGCACATGGCCATAGAGGGCAAAAAGCTCATTATTAAAAGAGTCAACTGCTAATGCTCTGTGAATCAAAACATTTTTCAGTGTCCCCAAAAGAGAAAAAAAAAAACTTTTTCTCTTCAGATTTGTTTTACACACACACACACACACACACACACACATGCAACACTACTATTTCAGAAAGTGGCAAAAACACGTGAAATATTTGTAAAATAAGATAAAATAGATGAATGACTAAGTTTGGTATTCTTAGTGACGTGTGTTGATGACACACTTGCCATGTGAGGTCACTGTAATTGTAATACTTTAAAAATATTGTTAACCATATATTTATATAATGGATACTGTTATGTAGAAGAGAAAGTAGTAATTTCTGTTCCTTGGTTATATTAATATTGTTTTTATATTTCAAATAAAAATTGAGATGCTTACGTCTAATGATGAGCTTGTCCTTTTTCCTATGAGTATAGATATTCATTCATGATTATTTAAGATAATCTGAGACTGACAGGATGGCATTCAAGCTTGAGGACTGGAATTTCAATCTCCAACACCCATATAAATGCTAAGATGGCATTTACCTCATAAGTTTAATACCAACTCTAAAGAGGAAGAGGTGGGAAACGCTGATAGCAGGCTGGCTAGCTAGTTTAGGTGAGTGGGTGAACTCTGTGTTCAAATGAAATATTATGCATCAACACACATACTCACGCGCATGCACACACACACATGAGATAAAATTAAATGGCTGAGAATGTCTCCATGTTCTCTTTCCCCATCCCATATCCCCCTCTTTTCAGATTACCAATTCAAAAAAAGTGGCAAGATTTTGACCTGCCTTCTTCCCATTAATTTTATTTGACCTAAGGCCATTTTTTTCAGACATAATTTTTTGACCTTTAGTCTCAAAAACAGAGGATTCTGGGCTGGAATAAGTGGTCTGCGGTTAAGAGTACTTTTACGCTTGCAAAGGACCAAGATTAGGTTTTGAGCAGTCATATGATTGTTCAAAATAATACATCACTTCCAGGAGAACCAAGGTCTTCTACTGACCTCTGTAGTCAGACCCTACTGTCTAATAAGGAGATAAGCCAGCAATTCCATCACATCTTGGGGTGATGTTTTGTTTGATACACAAAGTTCTGAATGAGCTGGGGAGAAGAGTGCTCACTATGAAAAGAGTGTCGGTTAAGCATCAGTGGACATGTGACATGGATTGGTGCTTAGCAGTCACTAAGATAGAAAGGAAGGACACTAAGGAGATAAAAATGGCAGTCCATTTGAAGAAAACTACACAGAAGAAGGAAAGATGGTTGTGGGGGTGTATGCATAATGTGCTAGGTCAGCACAGATGCTAAAACAAAGTAGGAAGGACTTATGAAATTCAAATGAGTGCCTGAGACAGTATATAGGAACACACCTGAATTTCGAGTGGCAATGTTAAAGAGTCATCAGGAGCTGAAGACCCAAGGTATGAGTAGGCAGCTAAACTCAGTCTCTAAGGTGTCCTACTACAGACACAACAGTAGATGAGAACGTATAAAACCTGCATTGGGCTGAGGGGAACAAAGCTTCTTTCTAGTAGCTGAAATTGGAAAACAAACAAACAAACAAACAAAAACCGGACATGGTGCTAACAATAATTCCTTAATAAAAGGTTTTATTATGTGCATAGAAACCTTAAACATAGATTCCCAGTCTTTGAGAAAATCAATTTTAAGTAGCACAAATAATTTCAATTTGTAGAAATTGAATAAACTTCTTTCTGACGTTCTGAACATAACTCAGAGAAAGCAGCCAATCCAAAGCTAGGTGAAGTTATCTTAACTTATCTTAACTCTTTTATATTTCCTTGGACCATTATGCAGTATATATGAATAATTTACTATGGATTGTAACTTAATAACAATAGACATTTCTTGATGTTGATATATCTTGTTAACAACAGTTTCACTTTCTTGAAACATGTAAATATAGTACAATTACACAATGGAGTACTACTTAGTAGTAAAAAAAACAAAGATGTCTTGAAATTTGAATGCAAATGGACGGAACTAGTAAAAACCATCCTGAGTGAGGTAACTCAGACCCAGATATACTAACATTGTTTGTATCATAAGTGGATATTAGACATAAAGCAAAGGACAACCAGTCTTTAGTCCACAATTCAAGAGAAGCTAGCTAACAAGAAACCCTAAGAGAGACATACATAAATCCCCCTGGGAAGGGGAAGCAGACAAGACCTTGTAGATGGAGCTGCAGGCCGCTTTGGCTCCCAGCCACTGGCTAGCTTTACCCAAAATAATTACACGGAAACTGTATTCTTTTAAACACTGCTTGGCCCATTATATCTAGCCTCTTCTTGGCTAACTCTCATAACTTGCTTAACCCATTTCTAATAATCTGTGTAGCACCACGAGAGACCTCGTGAGAAAATTATGGAGGGGAAGAAGGGAAAGTAGCAGGGGAGGGGAAGAGGGGAAAGAGGGTGGGAGGAAAACAAGAGGGAATGATCAAGAATGGGAAAAAACTGAGAGAGAGAAAGGAAAGAGATATCTCGATTGATGGAGCCATTAAAGGGCTGTTGAGAAACATAGCACTAGGGAAAACCCTAGGAATCTTCAAGGATGACCCCAGCTAAGACGCTATGCAACAGCAGAGAGGTCACCATCTCTTTCAAAGCATAAATTTGCTTCACAGAATAGTTGAGATATCACGGACTAAGCTGAAGATCATTTGGGAAAGATAAGAGCAACACTGTTTTCCAGTGATAACAGACAGTCAAGATTCACATCAGATTAAAGACATAATTATAAATTATTCAGTGGAAAGAAACATGACAGTGATGTGTCATTTTGAGAAGGAAATAAAAGAACAAGAAAAGAATGATGGTGATTGCATTAAAACAGAAGACACTTAAGTCTCCATCTATGGCACTGACATCCCCACACACTTGCCCACAACTTTAATATGTCTATATGCCTTTACATCATGTTCACAATACAGTTATGGTAGAACTCTTATTGCATGTCTAACTTTCTGTAGCTTTTATTAGCAAAGAAATATAGGGTTTGTAAAAAAGAAATTACATTTGCATCAGATTTGATATGAAATATGATGTTGGAACACTCCTCCTAGGCTTCTGGATTGACCCCCAAACATCAGCCTCAGACTGGGTTCATTTAGTTAATAATCTGATTTATTACCTGTCTTCATGCTTACTCTAACCGCTGCTATTGGTTTCAGAGAACTTCATTTAAGGAATTATTTATACAGATAAGATTAAAGACAAAATACAGAGCAAAATAAGGTGCTTTTGTAGTGTTTCTACTACAGGTTTTATATTTTCCTCAGTGTTTACTTCTCTGGCTTAAGAATGAGGAACTCCTAGTACAGATTCTGTTGTAAGTTTTCATATAGACTGATTACTTTTTGAAGAAGAAAGAAGAGGAGGCAAAACAAAGCAAAGGAAAATAAAGGATAAAATTTTCCAAAAAAATGTCAACTTTGGAAATGAATTAAGTGAGACATTCAGAGGAGAATGAAACCACTAGAAAAAATATACCAAAAACTGATATTATAGTTTATAATTGCATGCCTTATGGTTTACAGTGCTTATCTTTCTTCTCTGTCTTTAATAGTGTTTTACACAAAAAATTATCTATAGACAACAAAAGTGACCTTTTGATACCTATTTTTTCACGCAAGTGGTTTCACTTTATTTCCCTCTCATTTTAGAAAATTAAAAGTCTTTTTTTTTCTATTCTATATACAAAATGTATGGCTCAATCAACTGTATTTGTATTTGAATTTTCTGGTTTTTGAGTAGATCACTCCTTTACCTTTTCCTGTAAATTTTACAGATTCTCATTAGCAGAACAATCTTCTTTTCTGATTACACTGTTTATGAGTATCTCTGTTTCAAAGTCCCCTTCGTCATCCCAGTTTATAAATTATTAGATTCATGGTGACGTAAGCAGGACAACAGGTCAGGGAGTCATGGACTTTTCTTTATAGACAATGATTCAACAGAGACACATGAAAAACTATTTGAAGAAAGATTAGTTTTTAAGAGGTTAAATCCCATATTAAATGTTTTTATAGGAAATGCTATATTTACATATATAGTGTAGCTTAACATACCCATTCATGAATACATACTTTAGACTGAGGTATCACTGTAATTATGAATATTTTGTGCGTGTGCCTACCACTTTGTGTGTGTGTGTGTGTTCATGTGCACATGTGCCCACAGAGGTCAGAAGGGAGTAGAGGATGCTACAATCACATTTTTTTTTCTCTAGATAAAAATGTTAACATATCTTCTCTCTTTTGTAATTTATAATATGAACAAGCTAGGTGACATATTATTTTAATTATAATTAAGAAGTTTCTTTTACATGTTCTTAACAAATTATGCTCTATATCTCTTTGTACATATATTCAATTTTAATCCTACACATATCTGTACAATTTTACCCTCGTAAGAGAAACACGTTAATATATCAATTATCAAATATTACTATTATCTCTTACTAAAAATGAAAATTTTTACTATAAAACATTTCCAATCCTCACAAAATGTTGAAAATATTTATTCTTTCCTACACATAATGGCACAACACATTTGAGAAGAGTGTTGGCTGGGTGATGGCACATGCCTTTAATCTTAGTACTCAGAAGGCAGAGGCAGGTGGCTCTCTGTGAATTTGAGACCAGCCTGGTCTACAAATCCAGTTCCAGGGAAGCAAGATCTGTTATACAGAGAAACCCTGTCTGGAAAAACCAAAATAATAAATACAAAGAGAGAGAGAAAATGAAGAGTGTTGGCTGGGATCAATGTTCTATCAGCAGAATGGTTTCTAGTATACTCACTCAAATTGGAAAATGCTCGATTTCTTATATTCATTCTTCAGATTACTTGATTCAAAGATCTGATCTATCTGAAAATATGAGAAATGTATTAAATTGATAATTTATTTTTTATCAACTTTTTATACAGAATACAGGTAATCCATTTGTTTAGAACTGAGCAAGTCTTATTCATGGTGGGGGTGTTTCATACAGTTATGAATCCTGAAGGTGGAATGCATTTACTGATATTTTCTGAGTAAAAAAACATGCACTATGTATCATTTGAAAAGAAGTTAATAAAATTGATTATGAGATTTTAAACCAGCTGTGGAGAGACAGTCCCCTACCATTTGCTGAAGGTCAAAAGCAAGAACTTTGAAATCCGCTGAGAGTCTGTCTTGTAAATTAGGATTATATGTCACTCCAGATGTTATTTTAAATGTCCCTCTGACTTCATGACTTTTTCCAAGGGCTGCATCTAGATGAATTAATAAGAAATAAAGCTCCTGGTTATGAATAGAAGAAAATATTACATCCTGGTTTATGACATAAAGGCAACAACATTTATTTAATATACTTTCCCTGTAATTATTTAATTCTTGTTTTTTCTTTATGGTCCTTTTTCAAAACCAGCTACTGCCTCTCCTTTTTAATTTTTACGTATCTGGTTGTTTTAAAAGACTAAAAATATACGCTTATTTTCTCTCCTATTGTTCATTCTCCCTTTCTTTGAAGTCAAGTCATACATTTTTTTTTTCATTTTCTTTTCAAATTGAGATTCCTGTTGGAAGTCACAGGGCATAATCGTACTTTACCAATTATGGGAAGTGAATCAGGAAGCATAGTGAGAAACGGACCATTAAAAGTTGTGTAGCTGCTGTTAGATGTTTCTTGGAGCCCAAGCCTCCAGTACACTGCTGGCTTGCTGCATGTGAATTTCTGTGAAGATTTCTGTCCATGTGTGACTTTGAAACATGGCTTTGAAGCCACTTCTTACATCCTAGTAATTATAAATTTGGCATGTGTGACTTTTGGCATTAGACAGGACCTATCTTCATTGGAGAAGTTATTGAGAATAATGTAGAAAATGCAGTCTCAGTGAGGAAATAATGTAAGATAAGATGAACAAATTAAACAGTCTTTCTATCTGAATATTTTCTTTGATAGATGAATGATAAAATCATTAGTCAGTACAATAATAACATTAAATAATTCTCACAACGGTGTGATATAAGAAGTTATTTTTACTTTTCTACAACAGGGAAATGGAGGCTTAGAAAGACATAATTTCCTAATGGAGTAAAGATGAACAATAAAGGAAGTGAAATTTAAATATACGTGTGACTAACTATAACTCCAAAACTCTCTTAAACACATCATTTTCCTGTCCAGAAAAATATTAAAGCAAATATCTTAAGTGCAAAACTTAACATTTCACCTAAAAAATTATGTACTTACTGTCATTTGTGTAATTCCTATTTTGCGAACAAATTAAATTACATTTAAAACTTCCCACTTAAATACAGAAAATGGCGAAAGAGTTAAGAGATGTCTGGTTGGAGGAGACTCAGAGACCTTTATTAGCATGTCTGTGTATGGATGGAACTGAACTGCATTCTAGACATTAGAAAGTTTATGGAGAAACCAGCCATCTTAATAAAGAATATAATTCAGTTAAAATTATTGTAGCAATGTGAATTTTGTAGTAGAGAATTTATATGCATGTACAGAAAACAACAAGTTTGATGAAAGTTATATAAGCGTTCTATATAATTTTTGCAGCATTTTAAAATTGTACCTATACACACATATATGTGTACATAATAATAGTCAAGGAAAGAGGCCATTAACTTGAGAGTTGGGACTAGAGATATTTCAAAGGAGGTCATCTGGGGTAAACGTGAGGGAGGAAGTAGAGGGTGAATGTGATATAAATCTATTTCAATTAAAAGTGTTAAAACTTTACAATATTTTCATAAATATAGAAATTACATAACTATAATATATTTGATTTCTTCTGATGTTTTATTATTAGTTAAATTCAAATTTCTATTTATTTTGAGTTACTCTTTATTACATTGCATCAACATTTACAAATATAATGTTCCTATTATAGAAAGGATAAATGACATATCCTTTATGAACTGCAAAATTATTATGTTTTTTAAAGTTACTTGAAGTATATAAATAATCCTAAAACATCCACTTTTTTTTTAAACTAAGTGAAACTTGTGTATTGTTCATTCTAAACACAAATATTTTTTAGCCTAAAGGAACTTTCCTTCTAGATGGTTATATTTAAATTATCAGTGATTATATTAAAATTATTTCTACAACACTACAAAAACTTTTTATTATGTTCAAATTTAAACATTGTTCTGTCAGGGGAAATAGCTTATCCAAAAATACTTGCTAAAACTAAGACGATTCACAAGAAAATTCTCATGTTTATGACTCTTTAAAATTAATTTGTCCACATACAATTCATTATTTTAAAACACAAATTAAATAGTATCAAATATCTTTACTATCCAGGCTATTGTGATGATTTTGATTTATTTATTTATCTTATAAGTGAGTAGGTGGTAATTAGGAGTAAACTCTTAGAATCGGAGTTCAGTTTGGGATCTGATGTCTCCTATGTTCCAAATGTTGCTAATTTAAGCAAGCTAGTTCTCAAGTTCTTTGTTCCGGATTCACCATAAACTGTGTGGTGAGAAGTGAATACCAATGATGCCAAAGATATATTTGAATGTCTTTGAAAGTTTTGGCTCACATTAGCATAGTTCTACACAATAATGCTTAATTTCTTTCTTTTTTCTTCTCAAGTAGAATTAAATTTTTATAGGTCTATATTTATTTATGTTTAATTTGTTCACTCAAACTTATTAGCAACATTTTAGATGAAAAATAGATTAAAATGTAATTTAATACAAATGGATAATAGTGCTCATTTACTCTTCATGTATATAAGCTAGTATAGTTTGTGACATTTTAATATGCAAAACTACTATATTATATTCTAAAATAAAAAAGAAACTGAACATTATTTTGCAAAAAAAGTAAAACATTTTATTCCCAAATTTGAATCTGAGGTTATAGGAAATGACATACCAACTGATTTTCTTTATATCCTGTAAAGAAAAATGTCCAAAACCACTTAAATGAAACAAAAAAAAAATCTTGTGGTATGGTCAAAGTAATGAATAAATTAGAGCAACAGTTGACTTAGAACATGTTTCTTTTTTAAATGCATGACTTACCTGTTTCTGATTCCTTGATTGCCAGCCAGGACACTGCAATTAACCCAGCACAGAGGACTATAAGAATAATGAAGAGAACTGAGAGCATTGCCTCAAAAGAGTTGAGAGAATGACGTCTTGCGGCCACCTTTCTGTCTGACTTCATTTTTTTTTTTTTTGAAGGATGGATAAGTTAGGAACTATGAGAGGCAATAGTCTTCAACATCAGCAAAACTGATACCTTAATACTAACTGTAGAGTAAAGTCTCTCAAGTTTCTAAGGATGTTAAAGTCACCAACCATTCAAGCTAACATTGAGAGCCTTCAGTGTGAATTTGCTGTGTGTGCCTGTCTGGAAATGGTATGTCTCTATACATTCAGTATCTTTAAAGCAGTTAATATTTAAGAAGATACAGTGAGTACAGATGCCTAGAGCTGTAAATTGTAATCATATGAACAGGCCATTTGTCAGAGTAAGAGCAATGAAATGCATACCATAAACAAAAAATTGACCCTTAATCTCATTGAGAACTATTAAAAACATGAAAACGATAAACAAATTGGTCATTAGGGAAATGCACTTGATATGTGCATAAGTGTTCTGAACAGATCAACCTTCTTCCCTGTGATTCAGGTCACAATTATAAGTATTTCTCTGTAGGGAGGTCAAAACTTCCAAACTACAACACACATAGATATATAGTATAATTGTCTAGTACCTTATTCTAGCCCTCTATTACTCCTTTCTTATTTCACTGTTTCTCTTATGTGTATGCATGTGTGCCTAGATACATTACTGAAATAAACAGAAGTCTTGTGAATTTTATGTTGTCACTCTTGAAGTTATGCAATGTAAAGCAGTATTGATTTTACTTAAAGGAAAGTTCACTTAGGTATCATATGGCTACTGTACGTGATGTAAGCAATTATCAGTATCTGGGATTAATCACCCTAATAAAAACAGACTGTTGGTTTCTATTTTAAGAAAATATGCAAGGCAGAGGAGACCTTGCTCATGTATTGGTGTACTTTATCATTTTCTTAAAAGACAGTGTTTCTCTGTGAAACAATCCTGACAATACTGGACATCTTCATACTCCCTTTGTAGACCAGGTCAGCCCCAAACTCACAGAGATCCACCTGGCTCTGCTTCCCAGGTTCTGGGATTAATGGTGTGTACCACCAAGACCAGCCCATACTTTATTATCTTAAATACACCAATATAACAAGAGAACCAGATAAGAAGTCCTTAGATGTAACTGTCGACCTATGCTTTCTGGAAAAGTGAGAATTTTTTATAATTAAAGCAGAGTGTGCAGTTGGAACTTTCTTAACTTACAAAGTAATGAATTCAGGATATAAATCAACCAATTAATTATTCAATCAATCAATGGCATCTAATCTATTTTGGGGTAAGTCATATACTTCTTATTCTGCTAGGTAATATTGAGCTCATGAGCACTATTACAAGTGTAGAAATCACACATAAAATTTTAAATTGAAAGCCCAAAGGTATGTATTTAGGTTCAGAAGTAATATAAAAGTTCAGATTTGGAATCCTGCCTCTCATACTGGGTTGCCTTGTTAACACAGGGTGTCTTGCTGCAAATTGACATGCCATATGCTTGTTGATATCCATGGGATTCCTGCACTTTCCTGAAAAGAAACTGAGAAGGAGTGAATTGGAGGGTGGGAACAGTGGGTGGGTGGTGATGAGGTGGAACTGGGAGAAGAGGAGGGAAGGCAAACAATAAGAGAAGAAAAAAAATCTTTCACATGATATGTGTAGCTTAGTGTGTACAAATAAGTATGTGTAAGAATATCTTGTTAAATACAGTAACTTATGAAGGATAGTGTGACATTAAACAAGTGGATGTGATCATGTCTTAAAATGTACAAAGCAAGCTATTAAAATAAAATCAGAGCTGCTCTATCAGGTAACAGAACTCACTGCAGAGTTGTGATGATGGGAATATAGGATCAGTCAAGGATGAGAAATTCAGCTCAGCACAGAATAAAGAGCCCAGAAACAACTTGATTTGTGCATGGAAAACATCGTACATTAAACAGAGTGTTATTGTTAATACATGAAGAAAAATCACTATTCAAAGAATGGGGGTAAGTTGATTTCTTATCTATCAGCAAAAATAAATAAAACTAGATCATTACCTCACAGCCTAGGATGAATAAATTCAAGGTGGAGTAGATATACATGAGAACTACATATAAATTTAGAAGAAAAATGCAGTGTTTTTTGACAGTTTCAATTGAGTTTTAAATAATAGCATAAAACAAGGAGAATTATACTGATAAATTTACCCAACAGTAACCCAAAAAATTCTTAAAGAAACCAAAACCAAAGTCAAAGCCAGAGAATTTGTTGTGAGAATATCTTTCTGTGTCTGTTTGTAACACAATATAAATTAGGTCACTGTTTTAATATAAATAGTTGGGAAACAGTTCTCAGAAAGTCCACTAGAGAAATAATGAAATTAAAAATTGTACATAGAAAACAAAGCCAGTGCTTCCTGGGTGTGGTGAAGTCCTTAGGTATCGAGAAGAGTAACTTGCCAGTACTTGCAGGAGCCAAGAAGAGCAGGTTCAAAGGTCTCCCAGTTACTGTGAGCAAGCAGGATCATTAGGCAATACACAGTCATGCTCACTGTGGGAGAGAGACTCCAGACTACTGTTTCCCTTTGGCGTATTCAGTTTGTCCTGACTAAGAGATGGTGCAGGAATTTATGAGATGATATACTCAGCAGATAGGAGTGAAAGAAAATTCATGTGGGTGGAGGCTTTATACACTGCTTGATAAATATTCAAAATATTTATAGAAGATAGAAAGGATAGAATTTGGAAGAAAAGGAAAAGGAGCAGGAAGAAAGAAGGTGGGTATATAGGTCAGTGTGCAGTAAATGTACTCAAAGTATGTGATGCACTTGCTCAAAAACAGCACTGTGGAATTCTCGGTTCTGTGCAAGTATATACAATAAAAATAAAGACAGTGGGGATATTTTTTAAAAAAGAATTTCTAATTCTTTCAGTTAGTACAGATAGCAAGACATTAACAAAAATGTAACACAATAATACAAACAAATCTACTCCAACATCACCGAAACCAAGCAAAATGAAAAAGAAAAATGCAAATAAATACAGAAAAGTGTATCTGTAAATACAGAGATCTAATTAATATAAGAAATTGACCAAAAACATTAAAAATATGGGCACTAGAAAAAGTGGCGTTCCTTGCCTGTTAGAAGAAAATTTCTGTCTTTCAATTGTAATACTGCAGTCTTATTTCCAGCTTTGAGGAAAGTCATCTTCTGTGGCCTGTCCTTCTATCTACCACTGTTCCCTGGGGTCTATGCACCACCCAGTAAGCAAAAGACCATATATCAGTATTAAGAAGTACAATCATCACAAACCCAGATTTTACATGCCAAGTGTTAAAACACAATCAATAACAACGTGGGCAATATATCCCACTAGAACCAAGCAACTCTACTACAGTGGGCCATGAGACAATATGGCTGAGGCACAAAAGACCGACTTCACAATAACTGTCATCCATATGTTCAAGGTCCTTAAAGAAGATATGACTGGATCCACTTTTAAAATCTATGGAAGCACATACAAACAGAGGGAAGAAATGAATAAAACAGTACAAGATATAGAGTGGAATTAGAATGAAGAAAGACAATCCACTTGAGGAAAAACTGTAAGTTAAAATGTAAGAATTTTAAACAGAAGCCTCAGAGGTAAGTATCACCAACAGAATGTGAGATGAAAGAGAATGTTGGGCATTGGAGACAAAATAGGAGAAATGACTATGTCCATCAAATGAAGTGTTAAATCTCAGAAAAAAATCATGGCACAAAACATTCTGGAACACATAGACACTATGAAAAGATCAACAATTTAAAAGGCTATTAAGAATAGGAATGGAGCAAGAAGAAATGCAGGTCAAAGGTACAGAAAATAATTTCAACAAAATCATAGAAGAAAATGTTTTTATACTACAGCAAGAAGTGCCTATCAAATTACAAGAAGCATACAGAAAACCAAACAGACTGAAACAGAAAAGAAACCACACAGCACATGATGATCAAACAGCAAGTACACAGAACAAAGAGAATTTTAAGAGCTGCAAGAGAAAAAGACCAAATGACATTCTTGAACACAAAGCAAGTCTCCACAGATAAAAGAAAGTTGAAATAACACCCTGCACCTTATCTGGAAACCAAGGATTCAACCTGTATATTAACAACAGAAAGAAGAGAAAGCTTACAAACTCACAGAAATGGAACAACTTACTACTGAATGAAAAATTGACCTAGGAAGGAAATTAAGAACTTTTGAAAACTGAAGAAATATAAATACAAGGTACCAAAACTTGTGGAACATAATGAAGGATTCTCTAAGTATAATGTTTATAACAGTAAGTTCCTCCATTTAAAAAAAATGGAGGGATGCCATACCTAAAAGCCCTAGAACATAAAACATATAACACATAAAAGGAGTAGAAGGCAAGAAATAACCTAGACTGAGATCAATAAAACAGAAACAACAAACAACCAATGAAACATTACAAAGAATCAATGAAACAAATACTTGGGTTTTGTTTTATTTGAGAAAAATCAATAAGATTGACAATCCTTTAGTCAAATTAAGTGAAAATTCATCTAATTGAGCTGTTCACGAAAGGGACACACCTGAACCCCAACCAATCAAGGGTGTTGGTGACTCTCCACAAACTGACAAGATAGATAAAAATTAATAAGCTTAGAGATGAAAAATGGGACATAACAATAGGAATCAAGCAAATCTATAGAATCCTAAGGATATACTTCAAAAGAGAATGTTGGAAATACGAAGGTTCTTCATCCTTCAAGAGTTGTAATTTGCAGTTCCACCTTGCAATTTCCAGGAAGCTCTTGAGAAAAAGGAATCTGTACATTGCTTTTGATAGGATATCCATTTTTATTATATTAATCCTACTGGTCCATGAGCATGGGTGATCTTTCCATCTTCAGATATCATTTTCGATGTCTTACAGGTTTTATCATACAAGTCTTTCAATTGCTTAATTATAATTACTACCACATATTCTGTGTCCATTACTTAGAATGAATTAGAATTAGAATATAGGACATGGAAACCTCTGTG